GAATACACCCTGAAAATAGAAATTAAAAAAATGGATGTTAAAACTCGCTTGCCGGCGCCATGGTATGGTCAATATTTACGTACCGTCTCAACGACTTTAAAATGCTTCCTATAACCCGGCTAGTGCAATCGATAAAAACCATATCGGAAATCAATCGATAATTGTCGATAATCACTTTTTGATTGATATCGATTATATCGGTCAATCGATAAAAATAGATAGCAACAACTTTTTTCGTTGTCAGCGCAATCGATTTTATGCATACGCTTATAGCTGTCGCATTTCCCAATAAAACATTTCAACAGGCAAATGCGACTGCTACACGCGTATGTTGCAAGTTAATCCACCCTTGTTCATTGAAATAATATACGAAGCTTAATTTAGTATTCCTTTATCAAGCTAGTTAACTGCTAATTTAATCCAAGTTTTTTACTGACTCTTTTGTTTCAACACCGTTTATTTCTCTCAGCGGAATTTCACAAATTGCATTTTTTTCTTTCCTTTTAAGCATCCTCTTCCATTAACTACATGTCAAATTTTCTACTGCCATTCATTACCTGGATTTATACGGGTCTTAAGAAAGAAAAATACATTTAATTCATTCAAAATAGTAGATCCCTGGGAAAGCGGATGTTTGAAGATCTTTCTTTAATAATAAATGACTGTATCATGACATCATTGCTGTTGTTAAAGATTATTAATAAGTTGACCAACAAAAGTTCTTATGATTTTATTGGAAATTTTACTGTTTAGGTTTTTTTCGGTTTATTGTTGCTTTAATTGAACAATATTACGTCATAATGGCGTCCAGTTCGTCATTGAGTTAATCAAGTTGTGTTGGAAATTACGAAGCCATTATTCCCTGTAATATTGGTGGCCATATCATGTTTTGTTTTTCAAGTTACAGAGGGGACTTCCTTTGTTGTCAGACAATTATTTATTAGCGCTACTGGCCCTCGTGTCGCCGCATAATGCATTGACACATAAACTCTTCATCTTGTAGGACCGTTATGCTGATTCAAAAGCAGTGCCGCCTATTGATGATCAGCAGGATTACGAGCTCACAGATTCCCAAGAAAGCGACGGAAAGACTTTACTGAAGTTCAGGAGAAAATTTGACACGTGTGATTCACGTGACAGGAAACTCGAGGTGAGTATTTTTGCGTGCCGTTTTCTTTTGACTGAAATCCCTTTTTCATAGTACAAACTTTTCCGCTGAAATGGTCGAGAAACAATGTGAGCTACAGCTACAGTGAATAACTGTGAACTAGTTTGCCTCCTGCCATCTAACTGGGATTCTTTTTATCTTTCCCCACGGCTTTTGTGTAATAAATACCGCCAACGGCAAAGATGATGGTGATGATGGTGACGATGCTGATGACGATATTGATGATGATGATGAAGGTGGTGCTTATGATGGTTTTCACATAAACGCTCTCAAAATAGGCTAAACTGATATTTTAAGAAAAAAAACTGCAACGAAACTGTGAACGAAGATCCTACTGGTTGTCAACGTTGGATCTTAAGAAAAAAAAAAACAATAACAAAAATAAAAAAGGAGAAGTTCAAAGACTACTGCGAAGCTGATAACAATGTGCATTGTTTTCATTTTTCTGAACAATTGTTCGGTTGGCCATACCAGCCTCTTCAGATCTGCAGATGTTGCTGTAGCGGATTACACTTTCCATTCCACCCCCTTTTCGACCTTTCTTACTGCACTCCCACCATTCATAATGCTAGGATACCCTGCTTGAGCGTCAACGATGCTACTGTACAGAAACGCTTGTCGTTTTTCTCAAGACCAGGCGTGTTTACTACAGTGCAACCCCGTTAATCCGGTCACCGATGGGTCAAAAAAAAAAAATTGGCCGTATTATTAGGGCAGGCCCAAATTTCAATAATGGCTGTGATGACATTCGCATTTCTTGAACAACTGATCTCTCAAACAACCCTAATGTAAATATCGCGTACCGTAATTGAAAAAAAACAAAAACTACTTAAAATTTTCCTTCAGTACTGATAAAATACTTTTAAAATTCGGCTATGAAATCGCAACAAGTGCACTTCATGTGTACCGTCGCAGTCTAAAAACAGTACAAGAACAGGCTCAGAGAACTTAAGCATTTGAATTTTCTGAATTTCGAAAAAGTATCCGTATTAAGGGGGTGAAATTATAAGAGATTCTACTGTTTGAGATTTTCAGATGTGGCCGTTGGCCGTATTAACAGTTTATTTTTTCCGGGCCGTAAAAAAGTGTCCGTAATAACGAGGTGACCGTATTACCGAGGTGCCGTAAGGTGGGGTTCGACTATATTTAAAACACAAAGCACCCGGGTGAAAATCTTGTGCATAAACTTGAAACTATTCTCACAGGGGAAAACACGCACAAAAGCTCAAATTAGCATCATTGCAGTTCCTAACATTCTCAGCGTGGCCTGGGAGAATAATACACAGGCGGCATACCCACAGACCTTGTCCCTCAGTCTAAAGAGCAGTCTGCTTGATTATTCAGCCAGTTCTAGTAAATTTTAGAACTCGGCACCCTCGATAGCAGTTATCCCCCCACTCTCCTAGGGCATACCTCATATTCTCTCCTGGTCCACCGACCCGAAGAGCCTCGGGCTGATTTTCCCACAGTTTGTGCAAGTAGATGACCACTCATCAGCACTAATCAGTACTACTTACAGGGTCCCTCAGGGATCAATTCTAGGACCCGTTTTGTTCAACCTTTACGTGAATGACCTTTCTTCTGCTCTTCCATCTGAAGAAGTTGTATGTCATCAGTACGCGGACGACACGACGATGTATACTCATTTCCCCGGGAGGGGATGGGGGGGGGTGGTTACTACCCTATAAAAGTGACGGGGGTGCTCGTCGGAAGAATTTCGAGAACACCCCTAAAAGGTACCAGAATCTTGTTTTATGGGCGTGTCCCAAATTCATTTCCACCCCTTAGAGGTACCAATTCAACAACAACAAATGTTATAACTGGCACTGCAAATTTTAATACTAATAAAGATAACTTTCGAACACTTTCTTCTCAAGGACTTTTTGAAAGTGTTGTCATAAATCTTTATCCTAATCAGTCATTTTAGGTTTTAGCACTTTAAGAGGTACCAATCCACAAATTTAAACCCCTAAAAGGTACGACGAGCACCCCCATCAATTTTATTGGAGAGTGGGCTCATTTCAGGCCATATGATCTTCAAGTCGACCAGTCGGTGATTCAAGACGCGCTAAACAAGCTTTCAGACTGGTCCTTAGAATGTAACCTAGCTTTGAATCCAAAGAAAAGAAAGGTGATGATGCTGTCATCAGCTCAGATGTCAAGGGCACATGGACTTAAGACATGTTCACTTAATCCCACGGTTAACGGGAAAAGGCTCGAGCGTGACTCAAACTTCCGCCTGCTGGGAACCCAAGTCAATCAACACCTTAAGTGGAAGGAGGAGATTAACTCGAAGATCTCTAGCTGCTACGATACACCAGTTATAATTAGAAAATTAAACCACTTAACTCCCTTCCATGTCCGAAAGCAACTGGCGGAATTCCTGATTTTATCGAAAATTGACTACAATGACATTGTTAGTCATCCAGTCCCGGGATACCTAATAAAGGTAATATGTCCAGTTGGCCGCTGCAGGTTTCGTTCTTGGGCGCTATGCGCATGTGCCGGATGTAATCAAACTAGGATGGATACCAATAAAAGAACGCAGAAAGAATCATTTACTTAACACCGTTTTTAAAGCCTTGCATTATAACGACTGGCCGTCCTATCTTAAGCTAGACTTTCATAACCCAACACCGACGTGTAAGCTAGAAATTCATAACCCTACACGGACACTGAGGTCTTCGAAAGAAACGACGTTAAAAGAACCCCTTTCTCGGGTACTGTTCAAGACAGACTTGCTTCTAATTTTTTTTATTCATTACCCTCTGCTGCAAGGTACTCTGTAGTTTTTAGTGATTTTAAAGCTCAGGTGAGAAAGTATCTGATAAATAGGGCAAATGTAAAAATGTACCTTATCATTTCTTGATTTGTATATATTCTAGTCAGATTACTTGAAGGGCCAATCGTGTACTTATTACAAGATTCGACCTGAATATCGCCCATAAATTCAGTATTGGAGAAGAGATCAGATTCTTGATAAAGTGAGATATAAAAGTGTTGGTGATCGTGATTTTCTACTAACAAATTACTCTCATTACAGGTTGGTACTGCAAAGGTTGTGTTTGCATATCATTCTGAGGATCCCGTGTCACCAACGGATATTAAACATCATGAGTTTAGAGGCGTTAAAAGCATCCTTTTACTGAACAGTGTGGACACAAGAAACACCAAGGGAAACGGATGGATGAAATCCGATTTGACTGCCAGAAATGTAAGAAAAAATGAAAAGAAAAAGAAAAGGAAAAACTGTTAGCTATAAACGTTAATTTGTTTGTTAAGAATTAAGATGAATTACACTTTTGCCATCAGGTGAGTCTAGTTGCCTACGTTTTGTTTTGGAGGAACTCCCATATGAAAATTACCGGAATGTTCGTCGTATCGCTTCTTGGAAACTCAGCTAGGGTGGTCTCTGCTTGGGTGTTCAGGACGGAGAGCGGTTTATGACGCATAAACATTTGAATACTTTTACAATCAAAGCTCTCGTAAGAGTAACACTTGAGCGCACGCTCAGATTATGAATAAAACATAATAAATTTTAACATAAACACATTGGGTGTTTTTGACAGGTTGTCCTTATTTTGCATTTATGCATTTATTATTTTTTTTAAAATACCGTAAAATTCCGAAAATAAGCCCCGGGGCTAATATTTTTCAAAGGCCATTTTTGAGGGGCTTATTTTGGAGTGGCCTATATTCGGAGGGGCTTATGTACGGAGGGAAATTTGCGTTTAAAAATCGATTGGGCTAGCCCTCTTCCTGGGAGGAAATTTACCGTTTTTCTTTGTTTTACTTTGTGTTTTACGGAAATCTCCAATACACCCCCCCCCCCGGGGGGCTTTGGAGGGGCGATTTCGGAGGGTTTTTTGCGTTACGAGTTTAGGGGGCTTATATTTGGAGGGGCTTATACATGGAGGGGCTTATTTTTGAAATTTTAAGGTACATAACTTGTTCTGTCAGAGACCAGTTGGCCCCACTAGCGGCATACCTCTCCCCTTCTTTTCTTTTATTTCCAGAGTACAGAACTCCTCGTTATATTTCAGGTGCATATTCTTTCGTGGCCTGCTTTGCAGCCGGCCCACGCACTCATCAAAACCATTTGTCTATATACAGAAGGTTTAGAGCGTCTGCGACGCAGGCAAATTCTTTGATTCGTAGTTTCTAATTTTGACATATTTATTTTCCTTAAGATGACAATACCAGGAAATGATTTAACAACCTATTGGTGTACTCTACTGAAAGGCCCAGAGCTGAAATCAAAACACCACATCACTAAGGTACTTGCTTGAAAAGTGTACAATTATTCATGCCTATTTGTCAAAAGCTAATTATCCAAACCTCTTTAAATAGTAAAATGAAAATATGTTACAGAAGTTTTGATGTGACTTTGGCGTTAGATTAGGTTAAACTAACGGACGCAAGTAGAGTGTTTTCAAAAGATGCGGCAAGGGGTGGTAAACGTGGTAAATGTCTTTGATGAGGCCAAATGGGGAGGAAAGCATATGGACGCAGTTGGTGGTTTAAGTGAGCTTTCGTAAGGAATAATAACAAAATGAATATGAAATATCCAAAATTTGGCGGACAGCTATGAAATATACTGAAAATTTCCAGCAACTCTACAGGGGATTATGCTGACTTCCTTTCTGTAAAATTCTACCACACAAAAATAAATTCTGGTACAATTTATGTTATGTTAATTTGTTGAAGATCGTTCCTCTCATTCAAGAAGGAAACGAAGGTTTCGTCCATCACATGATCATGTACGAATGCTTTGGTGATTTTACTGAGAAAGACTTCGACGAGGGCGTGCCATGTAACAGTCGAGCTAGTATGCCTTATTTGAAGTGCAAGCGTTATTTAATGGTCACTGCCTGGGCAGTAGGAGGACAGGTAGAAAATATTAATTAATTAACAATCGGCAGCAGTTTTCCATTATCTGTACTCCTATCGACCATAGAAATGACGTGAAAATGTTGAAAACTCACCTGCAAAGTTTTGAACATTTTGAAGTCATTTCGATGGTCGATATGAGTAAGGACCATGAAAAGTTGTTGTCGATCTGTTTTTTGAAATAATACTGAAAATTTTGACATGCATTTTCGTTGAAGTTTCTCGGTAAAACGCAAGCGCGAGAAAGAGAATAAACACATTGCGCCAGTGTCACGTCATTTCCGTGGTCTGCACTCTTATCGAACACAGCTTCTGACCAATCAGGGTGCGAGAAATCTTTCAGTTATCCTGATAAGTAATGAAACAATCATTGTATTATTTCTCCTTAAAAGCTCATCTCAATTTTTTGGGGGGTTCCTACTTACCCTGAGAGAACAGCCGACGTTTCTTGACGCCACCACTTGTTTCCCTGTGAAATGACGTCCGAGGAACGACCGCGGAAATTCCATAATGATGACGTGTCACTACCCAGATCTGGGTAGTGTTTCTGTTAGGTGAAAGCAAATTTCCCTCGCTCCACGACCAATCAGAGGCACAACTCAGATCTGGGTAGTGACACGTCATCAGTTTGGAATTTGTGCAGTTATTTCTCAGACGTCATTTTGCGGGGCAAGCCAGTGGTGGCGTTACTAAATGCCGACTTTTTTGTCAGGCTATCGCTATTCGGACAACGTGAAGCGTCCTCCAATAAATTTTCTTCTTCTTTTTGTCCTTGTTGTCGTTGTTGTTGTTGTTCTACTTGTCCTTGTTGTTGTCGATGTTGCTATTCTTCTTCATGCTTGTCCTTGTTGTTGTGGTTGTTGTTTTTCTTCTTGTTGTTCTTCTTGTTGTTCTTCTACCTGTCCTTGTCGTTGTTGTTGTTGTTGCTGTTGCCAGTCTTCTTCTTTTACATGTCCTTGTTGTTGTTGTTGTTGTTCTACTAGTCCTTGTTGTTCTTCTTCTACTTGCCTTGTTAACGTTGTTGATTTGTTCTTCGTCTTCCACTTGTCCTTGTCGTTGTTTTTCTTCTTCTACTTGTCCTTGTTGTTGTCCCTGTTGTGGTGGTTCTTCTTCTGCCCTTGTTGTTTTTGTTGTTGTACTTTTTCCTTTACTTGTATTAATCTTTTCGTCTTTTTACGTTTCTCCTCAGGGTCTTTTTTATCCTCCACATGTAGGTTTTCCGATCGGATCAAATGACTCGCCCAAGAATTTTCTGCTAGAAACACATTACGACAACCCAGGACTTGTTAAAGGTCTGTCCATTTTATGAACGATTCTTTATCAGGTCGTGAACTTAAAGGCGCCCCAGTGGTACTGGGAAATGAACCAGTGTCGTGAAATTTTTAAACGATATAACGATGTTCAAAAAAAATTATATATACCTTACTTGTATTAAAATTCGCGTCGTTCTCATTTTCGCTCAGCTTTAAATTCGCGCGATTTAATTTCGCGCTCCTTATTAGGACTTATTCGCGCAGCGTTAAATTCGCGCGTGCCAAGTAATTTTCCGTGTTCGTTCTTTTTGGTTCGTTTAATAGAGCTATTAACAATTAACGCATTTATTATGAGTGTTTTTTTTTTCAACAAATACTACAATATTTGTCAAAACTTAATCAAAAAGCGATTAGGTGGCCCTCAAAAAATGCCTCAAAATTATGTAAATTTGTAATGTAAGCAAAATTCAACTTAAAACGTATGTCAAATGTGTATACAGCTATTTCAAGAAAGGTTGTTGGAAAAAGTGCACGCGACAATCCCGAAAGGTATTGTGGGTGATTTTGAGCTCACTGTTTTTCAAAGAAATTTCAAAGAATGGCAGGAGAGGCCGGAGACGTATGTTTGCGTGTGCTAAAGGAAAGTAATAAAAGTAGGTTCGACAGCTACAGTGTCAGGAAAAGTGCATTGATCATGTCCCGTATTACCGAGATTGTCGAGGGTACAGTTTTTCCGACAACCTTCCTTGAAATAGCTGTATGCGTTAATAAATTAACTAATTTGCATTACTAACAATGAGTGTCTCATATTACACCAAAGCTTTTCGCGCGGATTATAATTTCGCGGAGGACTAAAATTGGCACACCCAGCGCAGCGCGAATTCTAGTACTGCGCGAATTTTAATACAAGTAAGGTATATAGTTACAAAGTTTTAATTTGATACACCTAATACCTTGTCATAGGAAAATTAGATAATAATAATAATAATAATAATAATAATAATAATAATAATAATAATAATAATATAAAAAAAAACAAACCAAAAAAAATGAAAGAAAAAGAAAACACAGCAACAACAACAAAAGCTACAAAGGACTTAGTTTTAAGCACGCTCACTACTATACATTCAGGTATCTGTTTTGAGGAGAGAAAGAAGCAATTGCAAAAACATTCTTTCGGTGGTTAAATGACACCGTGCTGCAGAAGTGTTTTCAGAGGAATTATCAAATATCTAAGCGTAATTTGAATGGCTCATCAGATTGAAATTTGTTTTTGCTCTTTTGTATCACAACGTTTCGCAATTAGGTGTATTTATGTTTTTCCTCGAAACGTTAAGACATATGAGTAGACGGCTAACAAGCCGTTTGTAAGCACTGGATTCAAAAGGGCTGCTTGTCCACCTATTCGTCATCTTGTTTCGGTAATTTTAGCTACAGCTAAGAACCCCGTACTTCCCACCAACTCGAACTAAGCCCCATTAATTTCCTTTTCAAATTTTCACTGAAATTTAAGCCAATAACTCTTATTCTGGTTCTTGTAACTCCACTCAAATGCCAGCCCATTAGTTCTTGTTGTTGCATAATCGGTAAAAACACTCAAACACCAAAGCGAACACTACAGCAATTTGATGTTACTAGAAAATGGTGCAAAGAACAGAGCAATTTTTTTATAAAAATGCGTAATCACGTTACCTTTTCTTTTGTAATAAGTAAAAACAGTCGAACTCGAAAACGAACACTACAGCAATTTTATTTCACTGGAAAATGGTGCAAAGAACAGATCCCTTTTTTTTTTTTATATAAAAATGCGTAATCATGGTGCCTTTTCTATTGAAATAAGTTAATTTGCACCTTACTGTAGCATACCGAAGTGCCTAAAAACTCAGTTACTCTCAATTATTAACATGGCTAATTGAATATTAAATCGACCCTGATTTCTCTAATTCTCGGGAACTATTTTTGCTTTCTCTTTTAGAATTCGAGTTAACAGATTACCACTGTATTTCAAATTTGGACTTTTGAATACATCCAAAGTTGGAGCACCTTGGGTGAATGCCCAACTGCCTAACTGATCTTTCATTTAATACCCGGGTTGACGGGTCTAAATAATATGAGGATACCAAGTGGGTAACAAGGAAAAGTATCAATCAAAAGTCACTCCTTTGTCCAAAACCCTATCAACGCCATACAGAAATGGGGCTGCACTGGTATGACATCTCTTAAAGGAATGACAGCCTATTAAAGGCGGAAATAACAAAAACTAACTCTTTGGAATCTCTAGGAAAAGGAGACCGCGACCACTAAAAAGACGCCAGTCCTACAATTTTCGATAATTTTGCTGCGTATACGGTGGCTTCTTGATAAAGGTTGGACTGTTCAATCCTTTTATTCCTCATAGAGTGATTGATTTCTTCTAAGGTCAAAAAGACAGCTCTGGCCTCACTATCTACTACACAGACAAGCTGCGAAAGTATGACGCTGGGATTGCAGTTGTTGGTGTCGCAGTAAATCGCTGGCACATTATTCCTCCTAAGCAGGAAAACTGGATATCTGTTGGATACTGCATGCACCAGTGCACAGAGGTTAGTTTTTTAAGACATTTAAAGGTCCTTGGTGTGATTCTGGTCGATAATGCTAATGGTAAGGTAATTTCCTTGAAAAGGATGTACTATCCAGAGTGTTTTCTAACTTGGCACAGTTAACAGCCACGTATGGGACATTAAAAAATGTAATAGAAATCTGTGGTTATAACTGGACTAAAAAGTGTTTCAAAACAAAGTACATAACACTGCTGATCAAAACACTTTTTGAATTTACTCTCGTTTTTAATCCTCAAAATGTCGTACAAAAACGAATTTCAATACAAGGTAGAGGAACTTATTAGCGGATATTTTTTGGTTTACATGTAGGTGGGCCTATAACAGGTGTGTGTGTGTGTGTGTGTGTGTGTGTGTGTGTGTGTGTGTGTGGGGGGGGTTATAAGTTGGGAGGGAGGGCTTTAAAGCGGCAGTTTACGATATAAACGGTCGCTATTAAAGTGGAATCGACAAAGAGTGTGACCCTTCTACTCGGACCAGGTTTTCTTCAAATAAAAATAATGAAAAAAATGTTCATTTAGCTTACTATTTTTGTGAAGGTTCGCAGGAATGTAACATGCCTAAGTCGCCACTCAATGCATGTCTATCTTCAGGCCGCTATTTAATTTGCAACTAAGTTTAGCATTTCAATTAATCCAACGGCATCATCACTGTTTCAGGACTTGTTCAAGAATACTGGATTACCTGAAGGCGGGATTAACATATTTGCTGCGGGACTACACACCCACTTGGCAGGTAGACGTGATAGAGATTATATTGCATAACCTAATGTAAGGAAATTCGGATTCCGGAAATCGGGTAAATTTGTGTGGAATCCGAAATTGGGGAAAATTTTAATTGTGGAATACAGAATCCTGGGCTTTGCAATCCGGAATACAGTTCAAGGAATCCGGAATCCCACTAACGATTAGATTCCAGAATCCAAGTTCCACTGACTGTAATCCAGTACATGGAATCAACGGGGACTCCAAGGCGTGGAATCCAGAATCCAAGATTGTGTTGGATTCCTTTACATGGGGCGAATTGTCGATTGCCTGCCCTTTTACCCGACAGTCAGCCATAAAGAGCAAGAAAATTGGTTTCATAAAAGGGTTAATATAAGGACTTAACAAGAAAGATGACAATGCTGCTGATGATGACGACTATGATATTGTGTTGGTATTATTTCATTAAGAAAGGATAAAAAAACAACAACAACAACAACGTTATTGTTGCTTTTGATACTGATGCAGATTAATCCGTTCTGTTTTGTTCTGTTTTTGTGCTAAAAGCCCACGAAACCGTTATTTTCGGAACATTTTTTCCTTCAGGGCGTGCAAGCTGGACTAAGCACGTTCGTAAAGGAAAAGAACTTCCTGAGATTGCTCGAGATGATCACTACGACTTCAATTTTCAGGTGTGCGAAACAACAATTTATCTAGAGAAATACTTTCCCGAATAGGTGGTTCTTGTTAAAAGGTACCACGCAGATAGCTTCAATTTACTCGAACTCAGAATAGTAGCACTTTCATGTGACGGAGTGTTTTCCTTTTTTTATAGGACACACGAATGTTAAGAAAAGAAATCAACATTCAGCCAGTAAGTAATTACAGAACTATGATTGCATGATGCATTCGGGAAGCAACCTAAAAAAAAGAAAACAAAACATAAAAAAAAATAAGGAAAAAAAGTCGTTTATCAGATTTTTGATCAGTTAACACGTTAGAACTGCCTTTACAAAAACCTTCTAAGTAGAGACAATTCAAATGAAATCGCAAAATATCAAGATTTTCAGACACAGTTATATGAAAAAACTGTCCGGCCAGATGCGGATGAGATCACATCACTCATTCGGTCAGTATTGTGTACCCCCAAACAGTTTTATTGGTAAAACAGTTATTAGTTGCTTCTTTTCTGGCATATAAACCTCTTATTTGCCAAAGCTGTACTGTAAATTGCGGACCTACAACCCTGGTCAAAACTCTTGGGACACTAACGCAATATCTCCTGAAAATGTGGAATCTTCCCTCCCCCCTTCTCCCCCGGTGCAGTGTTAACGTTATGCATTCACGTTTTAATTCAACACAATCAACACTGTTTTGACGTTATGCATTCAAGATTTAATTCAACACAATCAACACTATTTGGGGAAGAGGGGGACAGCAGAAATATCCCCTTGTAACAACATCCCAAGCTTTCTTTAACAGGTAGAATATGAGTTAATTTAGCAAAGGGCCTCTTTGTGCCTAATTTCCTCAAGTGTCCCAAGACGTTTTGCCAGGGTTGTAGTTTTTCCCGCGATTTATGGTCCGAGCGTAAAGTGCGTGGGCTTTAAATCGTTGGGAAAAACAAGGATATTCGATCCGTAATTTAATTATAGTACAGACCAAGAAAACGAACTTTTTGAATGTTTTTCTGAGCGTGGAAAGAACCCTGAGAAAAGAGTTTTCAGTCTTATGAATCGGCTCCTGAGAGTCACAGGCTTTAAAAAAATCTAAAGCAAGAAAACAAATGCTCATTTCTTGTTAAAGGAACTGTGTCACAAAATTCAGTCAAATTAGGTAACTACAAAATGCCCGTTAAATTAAGAGAAACGTAAAAATAACCGCTTAAAACATTAAAGGAAGGTTAAAATAACACGACAGATACAACAGATGCCACGGATGGGCAAAACTGAAGAAGATTGAAACGGATTGAAATTAGGGTTTTTGAAAACTGCTAAGCCTAACAGTTCTTCAAAGTTGATCTCTGCTGTTTGCAACTTCAAATCACTGATTTTGTCATTTCCATGTAATTTTTTTGCTTATTTTAAGTTCCGTAACGATTGAGGGCAAGTAATTGGCAAAATTCAACAAAGTGAACTGGACTGCCGTGACACAGCCCTTTAAGAAGGGTTCTAGTCTACCATAAATTAAACTAAATTTTGATTTTGAGTTTGCTTCTTTGTTACTAGACACACTTGGAAAGGGGCATAATTAAAGGAAAGTGAAAGATCTTTTCCCTTATACTTTGGTCCGTAGACTGAGTAGACTGTTCACAGTCCCCTATTTTTTTGTGAGATCGTCGAGATATAGCGCGTCTTACTGTTAATGGCGGCCATCTTGATTTTCAAATCTACCGAGGGGACGGGCGTCAGGGATTATAGTTCTAGGGGGAGGTGGGCGAGAAAAATCGCATTTTTCTCGCTTCCTTCCAGACCGCCCTCGCCTCCTAAGTAGTTTTGACATTCATACAAGATGGCAGCCTGAAACGCAAAGCGCTCGATCTTGACGACCTTACGGAAAAATAGAGGAGTGTGAACAGTCTATAGACTGAGTTACGGACCGAAAATTGACCAATCACGCAGAAGAGAAGACACTTAGCAACAAAATGAATAATAATAATTTTTTTTAGGGAGACGACATTATTCATTACTGTCAATATAATTCAATGGACAGAGATAAACCGATCGAAGTAAGTTCATTAACTTGTCGTTTCCTTAGACTGCGAGCAGCCTCTCCTTTTCTTCAGATTTAGTAAGGGGAGTGCACGCGCGCGCGAGCGTTGAGCGGCGAAGCCGCGAGACGCGAGAAACGAGGGCGGCAGCGCGAGAAGAAAAAAGAGAGACTGCCCGCATAGCCAGACCCTATGAAATAAGCGTTGACCTCACAACGCAAAATACGATTGGCTGATGTGTGAAGCGTGACAACAAACTGTCAACAATCGAAACCATTGACAAGTTGATGATGGCTGAAGCACTGCAGGAATGTTTGTCACGTTTCCCGAAAAAAAAAAAAACATTAGATAGGGAAAAAGAGAAGCATAAGAAGGTCTCATCTCTCCGGGTACGTGACGTGACAGCGCAATTTAAATGCTCAAAGCCTCTCTTCACTGTCAAGGAACGCTTTAGTTCCAAAACGGTAGTCTTACATTAAAACTGAAAACAGAAAGTAGCATAGACTGGAAGACTCTTAGACTGTTTATTTTATAAAGCTAAAACAAAAGTAATTGCCAACGGATGCACTACAGGACATCACACTATAGAACAAAGATTCGTTACATTGAATCTCAAGAAAGAAAGAAAAATCAAACAAACAAAAAACAAATCGGCGCCCAAAGAATAATCTTGAGTGACTTGCAGCGTTGGCTTAGCTTTAGTTAAGCTCTAATTAGGATATGTAGAACACTATCCCGTGAAAATTCAACATCCTGCAAACAAGAACTAGGTCTCGGGTGATCTCATTCAAAACATAAAGCACAGGAAATGAATTATTAATATAAGAGAAATAGACCAGCTTCATGACCTCTAAATGTGAGACCAGCGGCCAAAATTAAGATTTGCTCAGTCAATTAGTTTAGAATCGACTCTAACTCTATGCACTGCATAAGCTGCGCTTTAAAAAGCGTGAAAAGTAGGAAAACCTCTGTTGTTCAAGCAAACTCTAAGGTCACGTTTCACGTGCCTGGCCTGTCAACACTTCAGTTTTGCTGCCAAAAAATCACTATACCGTGAAAGACCATTCTCTCTTGCTTTGCGGGTAGTCTCTCTTTTGTCGTGCCTCTCCCGTCTGTCGCCTTCAGTCGCGCGCGGTCATTTGCGTGTCTGGGGCGTTTTGCTCGACGGACCAGGAAAGAGACTACTCGGAGTCTATCGTTTCCTTGGAAACAATTTTCAGAGGAAAAAAGCTTTTTAGCAAAATAACAGTAAATGGAAGGGAAGCGAAAAGGAAAAGCAACCAACCAAACAAATTAAATAATTATATAAATGACTGGTTATATTAATGCATTAAAATTGGTAGCCAGCATAATACTATAATTTCAAACGTAGGTAGTTGGGTATTTCTTTTTTTTTTTTTTAGTTTGCTTTGTTTGTTTATTTTCTTTCTGGCAAGATAGTGACCAGAAAACGTCCTGATACTGAAGCTTTTTGGCGTTTATGGCAAAATTTTAGATTCGAATGGCTCAAAATAATTAAACAGCGAGGAGCCGTAAAGCTTTCCGAGACGTTTTAAGAACGGGATAAACTTGAAACAAGAAAAAAAAGTTATTAATAACGGTATCGAATAAAGCCGTAGGAAGAGATTGGATTTCGTTCTCGATATATAGATGCGAATTTGAGTCAATTCGAAGTAAGCGGATTCTACGTTTTAAATTTCCTTGGAGGAGACTGTATTTAGACTTATTTACGGTAGATAGATTCGCTTTACGTTCATTCTTTTTTTCGTTCATATGTTTAGGGAGGCTACGGTACATACGAGGAAATGTGTTTGGACTTTTTACCTTACTATCCTCGTGTTAAAGGCCTCAAAATATGTGACACTACCTTGTATGAACCTTCGTGGCAACTGGTTGACAAACTATAGTAAGTATACTATTATATATTTTATTAGTCTCACTTGCGTACGCAGCCAGACTCATAATTTCAACGCGTTTTTCGCCCAGGCGGTTACTCCCTGTTTAGGTATGTGCGGCGCCAAAGGGTATATGGTTTTTAGCCTTTTTGGTCTGAAATACTGGGTATCAATTTTGACCATTTTGGTCATAAATAGGGTGTGGTTTGTGCACTCTAGTCTTGAATTGGGTATGCTTTTTAGAAGAAGCTACTTCTTCATCATTTGGCGATAAGACCATTTCCCTTTTAATGTTTACGCCAACCGTGTACGTGCGTAACAGCTTATCACGCGCTCAGGTCGCGCACCTGGCTCCAGGGCTTTAGGACTGAAGTAAGGTATTACATTTTGGATCAGGTCTGATATAGGGTAGGGAAAATCACAGATTTTGGTCCGAAATAGGGTAAGGGTTTCAGGAAGCGTGCCGCACACCCCTACCCAATTTTCCTGGAAGTACCCCTCAAGCAAAATTGCGATGGTCGGGTGTAGTAAACTTTCACTGTATGCAAATGGGTCTTGTGATGAGTATGCGGTTTATTTTCGGCGATGATTGAAATGACGTGCCATGTAAATCACTTTTTTGATCTCTGGCAATGATATAATTTCTCTGGAATTTCCTTTAAATTTTCGTGTATTTATACACGTGTATTGTTGGTTTTCACATGACGTCAGTAAAATTCGAACTACAAAACTATCGATCCTACTGAGATTTTACTTTCATGGTGTATCAGAGCAGCTGAAAACTAAGTTCCAAACAAATTTTCGCTTCAAAAGGGTTCTTGGTTTTGTAATAGAGTACGCTTGAATTTCTAAGCTTTTGCGTGACGCAGCATTTACATGACGGCCGAGAGAGCTGTCATTTAGGTTATAAAAAAGTGACTTTTTTCGAGGAATTTTGCTATCTAAACAGTTCAAGTATTAGAAAAAGTATTACTTTAATGTTTATGAGTTCCTCTAGGAGTAAATTCACGCTTCTGTAACAAAACTCGGTAGCAGATGTCTCTGTTGGTTTCCGTCCGCCATGTTGGAGCTCATCCGGATGAGCTCCAGCATGGCGTCTCCATACAAAGCTCTATAAATTTGGGTAAAACATTTCCTCGGATATCTCGTATACGATTTACTCCTTCGACCCAAATCTTGGCGAGGGTCTTTGTATATTTACCCCCTTTCATTTCCCAGGTTCTGGACTTTATCTATCCAATGGTTTTGATTTTTATTTTGATCTATTTTGAATGGCGTGACACTGAAAACCAGCATTAGGCTGCGACCGTAGACGTATTTGCGGTCGTCGCTAACACGCGTACTAAATCAATTCAGAAACAAGTAAAAAGTATCGACGTCGATGAAGTAGGAAGTGAAAAACCTTAAGCGAGTAAATCCTATTTCTTGTAAAATCGCCTCCTCATTTCTCGAGCTAATCTTTAAGCAAGCGAGACGGGAAGCTGCTGTAAGCGCGTTTTTGTTGAATTCTTTATCTCGAATAATGTATTTCTGGTTTTCTCATTGGTTCCCTGGGTCTCGGTTATCAGTCTCTTACTGACGTCTGACCCGATGTGGAAAATTAGTGCAACAACGGGAGGGATAAAGTCGGACCGTCCTACAGCGTGAATTCTGCACAATTACAGTCAGATGACTTTTCTAAAATTAAGTAAAATTGGGCAAGACCAGAAACCCATAAGGGGTTGAAACGTGTAACTCGCGTTCAATGCTCGTGAATATTCGTTTTGACCATATTTGGAAACCTTAGTGACGGATACCCATTTTCAACAAAATGGCTACTGCGCGATCACCATGCAGATGTTTTAAGACAAGAGTTCTGCATTTCAAGGTTAAAAATACACCGTTAAAAGACAAAAAATGGAAAGAGAACGTTCAAAAGAATGCTCAGCTTTCTTTTTGTGGAGAAAGGGAAGCTTTTCATCAAGAAATCGTCCTTCGAGGAATTCAACCTTGTTTTCTTTACGGCGGAGCCCATGGTCTGTTTTGAAATGCAACCAAGTCAGCGAAGTTTTTGCTGAATTTTCAGGTACATTTTGCACTCTATGGCCAAGACAATTACGTTTTTGAAAGGGAATTTATGTATTTTTAAATGTTTCATAGACGTTTTATAAATTTTTCTCTTCGGCGCTAAAGAAAAATTATAAAATGTGCCCCGATTAATTGAGATGGATTTTGAGTTGAATTTTGCCATGTGCTTAGCCGATTTCACTTGCGTGAACGGATCCACGATCCAGATAGTGTTTT